TGCCTCATCAAGTTATCTGAATCCTCTGACTTGGTGGATGAGGACCCATGTTTTGGCTGAGGCCTGCTACGAGCATTTCTACTGCTTTTACTGTGCGCTCCTTTCGTTCCCCTGCGTCTCCTCGTGGATAACTCATCGTCCGATGACAGATTCTGGGATGTTTCATCATTCACTGGGGGAGATTCTAGGGGATTTGTGATCCGTTTTCTTGTATTTACTCTCTTTGTAGGCCTGCGAGTGGCATGTGACCCATATTTTTGGGACTTCAGTGCTGAATGCTCTCTGTTATCTTTTTCCTCTTCAGATCCTGGTGAGTTGTTTGCTGCAGAGCTGTGGCTCGACTTTGACTCCCTGTGAGTGTTCCTGCTGTCTTTACTGTGTCCTCGCTTGTTCCTCTTAATAGATAACTCATCATCTGATGACAGCTGCTGTAATATTTCAACTGATGGAGTTTCTGGGGAATTTATGACAGCCTGTTTACTTTTAGATAATCTTGCTGAAGCACTACAGCTGCCCTGTGACTGTTTTTGTGACCTCTGTGCTGAAGACTTTTCATTATCACGGTGGTGTTTTAGGACAGTGTCCACATGTAGTTCTCTTTCTTTAGCAGGACACTTTTGGCCAGCAGGTTCGTTAAAATCAGAGTGATTCCTGTCTGATTTAGCCTTGACTCTGTTGCGTCTGTGAAGAGGAGCCTTGACCTTCCTCAGTAGTACTGATGCCTCCTTTTCACCTAGGATCAGAGAACACCAAACATGCAAACATGCAACATGTACTTTAAAATCTCAAACTGCTATGACTGAAGCTCCAAGAGCGTCTTTACCTTCACTGCAGGGCAAGAACACACGGACGGGCTTCTGCGACATCCCTGTAGACAATGTTGCATTGACCTCCTGTGGAATATCAAAATGAATATAGTTGAAGTAACTCACCCTTAATTATAAGACACACAAGCCCAACTTTAGGTGCTTACAGAGTTGCAGATGGAGGTATTATAACATTCATGGATGGTAACGTTCATGAACGCATCTAGAATGACGCGCCCTCCTTTCCAGTACTCCAAAGGTGGTTTGATTACTCGACCGCTTCGAGACACTTTCATGCTAGAGGAGGAGGCACCCATGGGAGGGCAGGATTCAGCTAGAGAGAATTAACAGAGAAAGTAAAATTACTTTATTGTAAAAACAAAAACAACAACAATTTATTCATGCCCCCAAATCCACTAAAAAAACAAACAAACAAAAAAACCCCACGTCACCAGGTTTGTATCTTGCACTCACGTGTCATAAAGGAAGTTTGCTGCTTCAAAGAACTGTTGATGAGGGAGGCCCCCGATTTTTGCTTCGATTTGATACCACTACTTTCACTTTTCTTCTGACTTCCTCTGCCTTGATTGCTACAGGAAAACAACATTTAGGTCTTAACCAAGTCCAAAGGTGTAAAACAATCAATCTAGATAAATTATACAAAAAATAATTAATTTAGTCACAATCCCCCTGCAAAAACAAACACAATCTATTGACCGTAAGAGCAGGGATGTGAAATTAGTGTTCTTACTCTCTCGACTCTGTCAGCATCTTGTCGTAAAGCGCCTTCCAGTTAGGAGGAAAACCCTTTTCAAACTTTTTCAAAAACCACCTGGGAAACTCTGGGAAAAAAAAGAAAGAGTAAATCCATGTAATACCATGCATAGGACTCTCTCTATACAGCTTTGCTTCATCCTTTTATCCATTTTTAATTTCTTCCCACGCACAACTGGAAAAAGGTTCAAGTCGGCTTACCGGATTCAACTTTCAAGTTCATCTTCCCAACCAGGATGTAAACCCTGCCGGAGACGGTCTTTATCATAGAATTAGAAACCCTGTGCATGATGACGTTACTGTTCCATGGTATGTTGTCTTCCCTGGGAGGAAATGACCAGCAGTTAACTATGAACCTCATAAAAATCTTTTGGATGAAACCAAAAAAATGTCTAAGTCTAATGTCTAAATGTCTATCAAATGAGAAAAGCGACCTGACATCATGTCATTCTCCTCATTCACAAAGTTCAAAATTACATCAAACAACACTTACCCGTGGATTCCATCAACAAAGAGGCCCTTGCTGTTCTTCCTCAGGAACCAGTTTTTGAGATAAATCACACTCTCCTACCAAAGGAGGGAAACAAGGGGACAATGATGAACCAGAGAAAACTTGTATAGGGAAATGCAAACTGCTGCTGACCTACTTTTTCAATTTGCTCTTGAAATTTATCAGTAACTGTTTTTCTTCAAACAGCTGGAGTTTTCACGCTCAACCGACACAAGGCCTGCCATTTGTTCACTTATATTTCATTAAGAGGCATTTGTTTTACTCACGCTGGGGAATGTTGCTTGCTTAGGCCACTTCTTGCACTTGAACACAGCCTCTTGTCTCTTGGGAATCAAGATCTTCGGAGAATTGAGCACGAGCGGGTCTTCAAGCAAAACGGGCTTCGACGACGCAGCCGAGGTCAGAGCGTCAGCTGAGGCGGATGACTGGCAGTCAGCTGACTCTGATATGCACCGGCTTACAGGAACATCACTTTCTGAGGTATTTGTAAACACACTGTCGTCCCTCTCACCAACACTGTGAGGTGTGGAGAGAGGACTGTCTCCGGACTTAAGGGAGTTACCTATGGGAAAGATATTGTGCCATAAGCAAAGGTGTGTTGTGCACAGTGACCTGGGAAAACTCAAACTATATCTATAGAAACTGCTTAAACCGGATGTGCTGCTTTTTTAATACCATGGCACACTCACCTGCATTAAAGATGTCCCTCGTGGCATTGATAGCTTCATGAACTCCCCGCAGTTCCCTTTTGCTTTCTCTCTCCTTCATATAAGCAAACATCTTAGCTGGAGACATTATAGGAATTTTTTCCAAAACAACACCACAGCCTGTTTCAAAACAGAAGAAATATTTTATTATTATTCTATTGTAGGCGTCTACCAGGTGATTTTTATACACCTCTATATTCTGATGTAAGGTGGGGAAAGGCAGGAAAAAATGTCTCACGTCTCTCTGCCCCGGATTTTCTTGGTGTAAACATGTCTTCGGGAATCCTCTCTGGTTGGTCAGTGGAACATCCTCTGATGTTCATCCAGGTGCTGTGGGTGTTCTCCTCGCTGAGAGCAGGGGCTTTCCTCTGCTGAGGCTGACATGTGAGTTCATTTCTCACCTCCTCAGTGCTGTTGACTTTGTTAAACTCCTGCTGCTCCCATTTTCTCTTTCTCAGCCTCTTCACCATGGGGGAAAAGGCACTGGCTGTAGACAGGGGTTTGTGGAGAGGAACGCATTCTTCATCAGAAGCAATGCTCTTGCAGTCACTTTTGACAGGTTGAACCTTCAACGGAGTCCTGCTGGACACGATGAACCGATCCGAGTCTCTGACCTGAGGAGGTTCTTTGTGGATATGATTAGTCAGAAAGAGAGGGTGAGATACGGCTGTCGACTCCAGGAAACGTCTCTCGCTTCTTGTGCATCCAAGTCCCATTTCAACCACTGGAAGCGTTTCCTCCAAAGGCTTGCGGATAAAGTCTGAATACGAATACAGGGAGGTTTTCTGTGGACTCTTAATGGGCGAGAGAATCAAAGGCTGGGCTTCGTTGCCGAACCTCTGATTCTCATCGAACTCCTCGGTCACCCAGATCCTCTGCTGCTGCTTCCTGGGTGACTTTAAATTAACTCTGTGCTCCTCTCGAGCGTTGTTCGGCGGACCGTTGTCGTCTTTTGCGCACATCGCTTCCTTTTGCACCTTGGATTTGAGCTTAGCAAAAACTTTGGCCGGAGATTCAAACTGCGGTTTTGTCTGTTGTAATAAATGAAAATACGAAGCCATGGTTCTCAAGCTGAAGTTACCTGACTGTAGACCCGAGGCGTTAGCTAGCAGCTAACGAGCTAGCCCGCAAATTTTAAATTTCTAATCTCCGCCGCCTTTGGCTCAAACTGTGTGACGTACTTTCACAACAAGTACGTCACTGCCGCTCATCTCTGGAGTTTTGTTTTTATGAATAAAACTTTATTTAAAAGTTTGAAAACGTATTCTTGCATTCTGTAAGGTTTTTTTAAAAAAAATATTTTATTATTTAACAGGAAAATACAAATAAATATGATACTTTTATTACTCACCAAAGGTTGAGCATGTAAAAAAAAAAAGTAAATAATAATAAATGGATAAACGAAGAACTATACATATATAATATTCAATATAATTCAATCTAAAAATGTCAATTAAATTTAAGACTAAAAAAATGATAACCAGTGTGATATGACTTCAGAAAAGTAACTGATAATTAATTTCTTTATGAAGAATTTTTAAAAAAGAAGATGACTCTTTCACGTGATACATACAGAAAACATAAATACATAATGAGAATTTCTTTCACTTTGTAATTTTCCAAAATAAAAAATTATATTTGCTGTTGAGTTGATTATATATGTATGAGATGTATGTATGTGTATATATATATATATATATATATATACACACACACACATATGGGTAAATGTGCAGTAGTAGCAGCAAGCAGGTGAATTCTGTACATTAATAAGAATCGAATTCCTTAACTTTAAGGATTTATCTGTAAAAGCAATAATATTTTTGAAATTTTTATGCATTTAATTAATTTATATATCATAATTCATAGGCCTAGCAACTTATCATACTTTCCATTGTTGCTTGTACTTAAGGAGAATACTATAACGCAATTAGTGTGCACAGGTCTTATTTATTGTACTCTTTTTATTGTACAGCGATTTGTGACAGTTTTGCTGTAAAACACGCTTAATAAATAAACTTTACTATCTTGATAATATGCATATACATGCAAAAATATGCAAAACCTGACCGTTTCTGTTGTAACTCACAGACAGTTCGGTGATTTTTTTTTAACCCCTGCATTTTCTCCCCTGCAGAGGGCAGTAATGAGTACAGAACCCACAAAAGTTCAGGGAGGAAAAAACAGCACCGAAGAAGAAAGTGCCTTACCACGCAGGCGCAATCTTAGTGACACTACCGTGTTGAGTGTGTTGTGCTAAAAATTAATAGGTGGAGAATTTTTTTTTGTATTTCCGATAACGGTACACTTTAAATGAATGCGCGTGAATAACAGACTGCTGCAAACATTGGGATATAAAGTGCTTTTGGCTGCCTTCAAACCGACGTTGAGCGAGTAAAGTGATGCAATATGGCAGCAGCGGCTGTCAATAGGGGCTTTCTTTCAGCATTAAGGACTCAAAGTTGGTGTCAGACCCGAGGACTTAACTCGTTAGCTGAGAGGACAACCAGTCGTGTCTCCTCTGCTGTGATATGTAACCACGAGGCTACAGGAGGACACACAAGCCTGGACAGGAGAGCTCAAGCTGGGGAGAGAAGAAGAAGAAACGGTCGGGACAGCAACAGAAGCTCCTCTTTGCTCACCTCTGTGTCGGTGGGTTTGGGGCTCTGTGGTGCGGTGCTTCTGGACACTGAAAAAGACCAAAAGGGGGACAAAGAATTGGCAATATCCCGGGGATTTCTCCAGCACATCCTCCCATCGGCTCAGTGCGCTTCTCCCTTCAAACCAGACAGCCCCCGATTTAAGTACAACTTCATTGCAGATGTGGTGGAAAAATCCATTCCAGCTGTGGTGTACATTGAAATCGTGGGCAGGTGAGTTAACTAGAGAGGTGCCATTGACGGTAATAAATGTCAGTGAGTTTTTTTTTTTTCTGTGTCTGTGTGTGACTTATTCGGTTATGTTCCTAAATCAAGATTTCAGACAGCTGTGAGCGCACACACTGGAGATAAGCACTCAGTCCCAGAAGCTGATCTTACTTGCCCGGACATGTACCAGAAAACGCGAGAAAAGGGGCTTTTTGGTTTGTTTGTTTGTTTGTTTGTTTGTTTGTTTGTTTGTTTTTGTTTTGTTTTGTTTATTACAGATGTAACAGAAAAGGACCCAAAGCATTTGTGATTTTATTTTCAAAAAACATTATCAGCTGCTGATATACTTTAGCAGTGGATAGACTTGTTTTTATCAGTAAGTGGAATCAGATAAAGTCCTGACAGTCAATCCCCACCTTTACTGTTTGTGTCACAATAACCTTTTACTGTGTGTGTTTAACTTGAGCAACAGTTCTCATAAAGGAGATCTGCTTTTACCCATTTTCAGTCGAGTCCTTTTACCTGACCTTTTTCCTGAAGATTTTTTTTTTTTTTTTTTTAATTGTTTGTTAAGCTACTTAATGCTGACCGATGAAGCTGAAGTAACATTAAAAAGGCACTTAACTCACTGGAGGAATAATGGACAACTTGCCTGAGAACCAGTTTTTGAATTGTGTTTTAGGCACTTTGTTACTGCAGCTTGTCAAAAAAACACATCGTTTGTTTTTTTTCTTTAACTGAATCTATGCAAAATGCCAAAGATAACAGTTTGAAAAGCATGAAGTAGTATTTTTGAATCAAGAGGACTCCAAAAAGCTATTAGCTGAAAACATGACACATCTCAGCAGTGCGTCCTTAAAAAAATTGAGGAACCTGGACAAGTGCAGGACGTTTCCTTTTTTCTTTTTTTTCTTTTTTTTTTTTTTTAAAAGAAGAAGTGACAGGCCTGTCTAACAGTCTGTCTAAATGAAATTCAAAAGAAGACAAAACCCAGCAAAGACCTGACACAAGACCTGAGAGATGCATCTTTAAAACACAGTGCACTGCATTTCAGCCTGTGATGTTGGGGATGTCAAAATTTATGCAATCGCAAACAGAAAAGTAGCGTCAGATCTTGATGCTACATTTCTGTTAGCATTTGCCAATCCATCTTTTGATTGGTGACAGCTCTATTTTTTATTTATTTGTTTTTTTTTCAGTATCACAATGATGTCAAACCAAATCAAGCATATCTGGATAGAAAAACAGAAAGACTATTCCCGAAAACTACAAAAAAAATTAAAAGAGAACTTGGAGTGTGTTGATGAATGAAGGTGATCACTCCAAATATTGACTTTAAAACTGTACAAACACCGTTTTGTACCTCATTTTCCATTTCTCTATGTTTGCACATTTTTCAGTAAAAACAAGGAACTTATATTCCTTTTTCCTAGACACACATAAAGAAACGAGGGGTGGCTTAAGACTTTTGCACAATACGGTATCTCCTGCCATGATAAACTAACCCTGAGGAACCAGGTTCAGTAAGATTAAGCTGCATTTACTTCTTTACAGACACCCGTTCTCAGGACGTGAGGTCCCAGTGTCAAACGGCTCCGGTTTTATCATCAGCAGCGATGGTCTCATCATCACTAATGCCCACGTTGTAGCCAACAAGCGAGGCGTCCGTGTGAAGCTCACCAATGGAGAGACGTACAATGCCATCGTGCAGGATGTCGACCCTGTGGCGGACATCGCCACCATCAAAATCTCTGCGAGGGTGAGCAAGAAAATACAGGCCAGTCTCAGTGAAAGGAGCTAAACTAGCATGTGTGCTTTCACCACAGACAAAGAAACACAGAGCTTTATTTCAGATGCTCTTTCTCTCCCCTGACATGCAGAACCCGTTACCCACTCTCACACTCAGCCGGTCGTCTGACATCCGACAGGGAGAGTTTGTGGTTGCCATGGGAAGCCCATTTTCGTTACAAAATACAATCACATCGGGGATTGTCAGCTCGGTGCAGAGAGGCAGTAAGGAGCTGGGCCTGTCCAACTCCAACATGGAGTACATACAGACCGATGCAACCATTGATGTGAGTACTTGAATAGAATATATTTAAACTGGAATATGTTGATAGTGTATTTTCTGTGACTCAGGCGTCTCCTGTGGTGTTTCTAAATGCCACATTTGACTAATTGTTTTTCAGTTTGGAAATTCTGGAGGTCCCCTCATTAATCTGGTGAGTCACAAGTCCTGTTTGTGTGTGTCACTCTCACACCCTCTCTCTCTTTGTGATGCAATACAGTGGCAAAACCGTTGCCTTGCAGCCTGTTTCCGATTGATGTGTTCTAGTCTATTGAAGTGTTTATTTTAAGTCACACAGCATGCAGTGCTGGAATTAAAGTGCTCTCCAGTAAGTAGTCATAAAATGTGCCTTGATTTCAGCCACAGGTATATACAAACACATGCTGATTGGGCTAACACCACAGAAACTAAAACCATGATAATACTTTGAGTGTTTACTGAGCACACCCATTAAACACTCAGTGTCCTGGTGAAAGAAGTAAATCCTTTGGCCAAATGCCTCAGACCTAGATCCAACCTAGTCAACATTTACAAGGAATTCCAGACCATTTTTCCTTCCAGAGCTACTTCAGCAGAGCTTTATACATGCTGTACTTCACTTTACAGTGGCTCTCATTTGTTGGTAATAAAAACAAGTCTATACATAAACACGTTTAGTCATTGTGGTTCTATATTCTCATAAATGGAACAAATACATGGCGTTAATGTAATGAAAATGGAAAGTACTAAAAAATAATAATAAGGAATAATCTGCTGTAGAGCAGACACATGCTGTAAAGGATTTGAATTATTTGTAATGTTGATCGGCTAATTTATACTGTGCGCTTGACCTTCACTGAGATACAATAAGAAAAGTTCTAATTTATTTTTTCAGATGTTTCCCAATTCTTTTGTTGCATCAGGTAAAAATGAGTTAAACGCAACAAACATAAAACTAACATGTGCTGTCTAATATAATAACACAAGCAGCCTTTAAAAACCTTAAAGATGCATATTTGTTGGTTAGTAATCCCTTTAAAATGCTCTCCCTTGACCCTTGAAAAATTCTGCTGATCTTCAGCCTTCCTGGCATTTTGTATGATATAATCATAAACCTGAAACTCCATTTACTTGCCATACTGTTCACATAGGAACAATGCAGTCTTTTTGCCTCATTTGTTCAAATGTGTTGCATTTGTTCCTTACTGTAATTGATGAAGGAGTAATCAAATTTTCAGACACATTTATTCGTATTTGTGCATCATTAAAATGGCTTCACTTGCTCTTTCTTTCCACTGAAGGACGATTTCTTTGCTTGTGTCAACAGTCTGTTAAGAGTGTGGGGTTGATGTGCGATTAGCCCGAACAATTTAAATGGCCAAGTCATCTCAGTTGATGATGCGCCAGGTGTTTGTTGAGTAAATGTTGTTGGATCTGATCTCATAGTTCCGCATATCAGAGTGCCTTATCTCTCCTTTTATTAGGATGGTGAAGTCATTGGTATAAACACCATGAAGGTTACCGCTGGCATCTCCTTTGCAATTCCGTCTGATCGTGTGAGGCTTTTTCTGGAGAAAGCAGCCAAAAGAAAAAGTAAGAAAACGATCAAGAATCAAAAGCAATGCATCGCATCTTTTTATGTGGCTTTCTACCTCATGGTGTTATAAAAATATGTTAGAAAACCTGCAGTCTTTCATGAAGTTCACACATCTTTTCTCACCTCTCCCAGGCACTTGGTTTCATAAGGATGAGCAGCGGTACATTGGTGTTATAATGCTGACGCTGACACAGAGGTAAATGTAACGAGCGATGCCCCGTTAGAGCAGCAGTGCGCAGTGTTTGATCTAAAACAAGGTGTTTTCTGTGTGTTCCTTTAGGATCATTGCTGAGCTGAGGTTGAGAGACTCATCTTTTCCGGATGTGACTCACGGTATCCTGATTCACAGGGTAATCAAGGGCTCTCCAGCTTACAGGTAAGCATAAAGGATGCTTCTTCTTTCAGCTCCTCAAGTTCAGCAACTTATATTGAGGTTGCTTTAATCTAATACATGTGTTTGTGGTTGTAATTGAGATGCAGGCATATGTGAGATGTTTGTACAGACTTATAGTGACTTGGTGCACACAGAATAAACTTTTACTTTTGTCATTATTGCTGTATTAAGGGGAATTTACAGTGGCCCTGAGGGTTCAAATGCATAGCAACTTAAGAAAGCACCAGGAAATAGAGGAAAAACACAAAATCGAAGTTGAATGAAACACAGTAAATGTAGACAAAAAAATCTCACAAAACACAATGTTTTTGGGGACACAATAATGTGACGGACAACTGCAGAAGTGATAGAAACCAAAAGGTGCGAAGGATTGCACTGAGACATCAGGATTCATCTGTGTGAAGAAAAGGCTAAGTTATGTGTGTGTTAATAGCAGGATTCATAACTGTAGAGGGTCTTTTTTGTTTTTAAAGCTGTAGATATATGTTATACTTTTTTTTTTTTGTTGTTGTTGTTGGTATATAATTGTCATCTGTCTTGTTTCAGAGCTGGCATGCAAGCCGGAGACATTGTGCTGGAGATAAACGGGGCCAAGGTGAACACCTCAGAGGAGATCTATCAGGCCGTCCACAGCAGCGACAAAATCACTATGCAGGTGCAGCGAGGACAAGAGACACTCCGCCTTCACATAACTCCCGAGTATATAAATTAATGCAAACCGCATTATTTCATGTCAGCCGCTGGACAGAATGAGTTGTTAGCTTGTGTACACCAGAAAACTGTGAAACCTTACAGTGACTGTGTTCAAAAGAAAATGTTTGCTGTTTAATAAATTGGATTTTATGTAAAAGTTTTCTTATATTCTCCAGTATTTCACTAACATTTGGAGAGGTGTCAGCTTACAGTGAATGTGTAGGCATTTTAGCCATAGTAAGTGTTACCTGTTTAAAACTACTCTGGTGCAGTCTTCATGGTGCCATTTTTCATTAAATGGTAAAAGCCATGCTCACTGTTTATTCATGGAGGGGTTCTCAGTGAATTCTACCTCTACTTTCTTACTTATTGCTCAGAGTAGCAAAACTTGTGTCTCTTGTAATGATTTGTGTCCAAAATGCATTATTTGTAAAATAAAAGCTCACGGAGCCTGAGAGGGTGCACTTTATTAAAGCCATTTAATGTTGTTAGGACAGCAAAAGGAAGCAAGAGAGAACCAACACTATGGTAAGGATGAATGGTATTAAACTGACTACTATTACATGAGCACAGAAGTCACAAATGTTGCCGCTATGATGATGATGAGAGTAACATATGAAGTCGCACTGATTTAAACTGCTTTGAGTATGTCACACACAGTAAAGACCAAAAAGGAAAAAATGACATGAATTCAATTCATGAATGTTTAAAATGCCAATCCTGCATGAGAAGTAAAGGTGAGGAGGTTATTCAGATTTCATTGAGCACTCTGAAGCCATAATGAGCAAAATAAAATTTCCCTGGTATATGTACAGTAACACACACTTACAGTAAAGTAATAAAGTGACATGTACTGGACTGCTACACAATTTCATGTATTAACCTCAAAGACTGATAGCTAATAAATTGAGATAACATTTATTAAACAATATTTTAAACAATATATTCATACTTCTGGACTAAAGACATCTTATTAGGTACGAGTACTACAACATACAAGTATGGGAGGAAAAATACAATTGTTCAAACCCCATTAAAACTACTTTAAAAAGGCTTAATATATATTGCTGGTAATATTTTTTCTTTTTAAGAAAATATAAATTGTGCGACTGAAGCTTACAATACACTGCTGGCAGTGGCGCCAGATTCTGTGGTGACCAGTTGGGAATGGGTCATCCGTCAAGGCGCCGTGTGCTGAGAAACTCCCAGGAAGAGAGGGAAAGAAGACAAAACTAATCAAGAAAGGACAGCTGGACATCACACGATGCCTGAATCGCTCGTACTTAAACCCAATTGCTGCTATGGTGTTTGTCACGGTGGAATGCTGCAAATATCACAAGATGTGCACAAACAGCAGCCAAACTATAATAAACTCATACAGATACATAAATAAGTGGGGGTGGGAGGTCTTGGAAACGTGTGTGTGTGTGTTTTGGAGGGGGCGTTGGGGGTTGGGTTGACAAGGTGAGGAACAAATTGTAGTGTCCAGTCTAGTCCAGCAGTGAGCAGGCTAAATATTGACTCAGTTGATGTGGTCCAAAGCACGAAGCAGCTCCTCTCCCTGCAGTAAGTACTGACGACCCTGTAAGGGTGCGTTCACCTCGCAGTCGTCGCGGGTGAGGAGCGGCAGGCCGAAGGAGGAACTGGTGGCCTCTGAAGTGCTGCCAAGCAGGCGACTCGCCAAATCTAAGATCGGAAAAGATCCAGTTGAATCTCTGATGTTCAATTTCAAGTAACACAGTTAACACTACTTACAAAAAAGAACTAGTTTATTCACCTGAAGACAGCAGAACGATGGTCCTGGTTGTACCAGACCCTGAAGGCTTCAGCTTTTTGCCCTTTTCAACCTGCTGCTGGAGCAAAGTTCCCTGAAAAAGAATGAAAAAAAAAAAAATAATGACGGTCCCACTTCCAGAAGTCAGATTATACCGACTATGTGTATATGCTGAGGACTAACCTGTTCTATAATCTCTTTTAGGTCACCAATTTTTCTTTTGCGATGTGCATTCTGAACTGCGAGGGTCCTCAGCGGCATCTCTTTCTCCAAATGTGGGGCTCTGCAGCACACAAAAAGTAGGCCTTAGCTATCCTCTAAAAAAGGTCATAAAAATGTAATTTGGCCAAAAAAATTAAAAAGTTTAAGCGATGTTACCCATTTGCCAGGATGGTGGGAGGATGAGGAGCATCTACAGGCTCCACAGGTGGTGCTGGTGAAGCTGTGCGACTGTCTGGCGCACTGAAGGGGGAGCTGGGATAGCTGTGGATTGGAGTACTCTCAAGGGACTTGACTGATCCACAAGACAAAGGCTCTCCTGGGGGCAGGCTGAGCAGCTGGAAATCATCATCCATGGGAATGTATGGAGCTAACATCTCCAGATCAAAGTCCTCCGTTTCCTTATGAGGAAAAAAAAAACAACAGATGGATAAGAATACAGAAAACGCTGGTGTTTATGTGATTCATGACTAACTTAATTTAAAAAAAAAAAAAAAAAAAAAAGTAAAAAGTGACGCTTTTTCTAGATTTACTACCTGTGTGGTGAAGGGTGTTTTGGGCTCTGTATCAATAGCAAACAGCTTCTCAACCAAGTCTAGCTTGAAGTCCGAGTTCATCTCTGAATCCATGGGGAAGCAGAAGTCCATTGGACTGCCGGGCTAAAAAGAAGAGAAGTCAAAGGTCATTTTTTTCCAATAGATATTACTGAGTGGTTAAAAATATTAACTGTCAATGTCTAATGTTGACAACAAAATAGTAAGTCAGTTTTACCGCTGGGGGCCTGTGGCTGGTTGTGGTAGTAGACTGGGCTGGAGCATAGCTCTCAGACTTTGAATCTTCAGAGTTTGTGCTGGAAACATCCAGAGGCTCACTGGGTGGCAGAGGGGAAAGAGGCAGAACCAGCTTGTCATCTGTGGAGGGAAGCATTACATCGTTGTAGAGAGGGACATCCTTCAGAAGATGGATATCTGATTCTGTACCTGAGGGTAGAAAAAGGTCAGAATCGTTTCATTTAGCAAGAAATAAACCAAGTTATGCTGTTTAAAGAAGTTTGAGTATGTTTAGTCGGGTACTAACCGGGGCAGCTGAAGTCCAGGGAGACGATCGTGTCTCCGGCAGCTGGTGCCAGCATGGTGAGGGCTTCAGGCTCTCCCTTTAGGTGGTCATACAGGTTAATCGGCAGCTGGGTGACTGCCGAATCAGTAAGGATTTTGAGTATGTTCATCTTTGGGCCTTTCACCACCTCCTCCTCCTTCTGCACTTCCTCTTCCTTCTCGAGTTCAGCCTTCTTTGGCTGGACTGGAGAGAGCTCGACCTGGCTGATCTCGACTACAAGCTGGTCTTCCTCCTGCTGTTCCTCCTTTACCGGCTTCACATCTGCGGTCTGCTTCACTGACAAGATCAGGTTCTCCTCCTGGATGCCACTACAACAGAGGAAGGACACGATGAAATTATGCTGCTGTAAAATTACTACCAGTGTATCTCAAGTAAAAAGATGAAAAAAAATAACCTAAGAGTAAGGGTTAGGATTAGAGTGTTTCCTCTGAAAGAATGACTTCAGTGAGACTTCAGTGTACCTGAGCACGAAGTTGACACAGACAACACACTGTGGCTGGGAGTTCTTGTTGTTGTAAATGACAGTGGCCTGTGTTTCCACCCACACGAAGCCTCCTTTCTTAGCCAACATTCGGTACTGGCCTGTGCAGACTTGGCCCTTTGCAAACACTAAAAACATCAGGGGAAAAAAAAAACAAAGAGGAGAGATTAGAAAAAAAAATTAAGTTAGGCAAAATTAAACAGCTAACATCTATTTTAAACTTTTAAATCCAATTATGTTTAACATTTTTGTTTATGCTTACAGTTTTGGTGGGTCTTGGTAAGGTGGTCTGAATCCAGAGCATGGTAGTACTCATACACAGAACGATCCAACAGGTCCTCTGGATCATAACCCATGAGATCAGTGATCCTAGAGACACAAACAATTTATTTAGATTGAATTCTGTAGTACCTACACTGAGCACTAGATGGCTCTGTGTCACTACACTACAATAGATAGAGCGATGCTGATGAGCGCCAATAGCGAGAACATAGGTTTAAGAAGCTGATTTAGATTTGATCCCTGTATCTTAAGCATATAAGACTTACTCCCACTGGCAAACTAACCTCTCATCACAGTACGTGAACTTCATGTCCATCGTGTGGCGGCTGAGGAAGGTCTTGGTGTCCAGAGGGACCTCAATGTTGGAGGGGTGCGGGATTGGATCGCAGATCAAAACCAGGTAGGGCACAGGTGGCTCCTTTTGCCCGTTGGTGCCCTCTTCGGCCGGGCTGTCATAAACGCGCACGTGACCTGTGCAGTGAAGCACCTGCAGGAGGACAACAGTTGTCATTCAAAGACCCCAAAGGTTACAAGCAAACCATAAAGATCACCTGAAGTGACTTCAACTAGAAAATATGAGTATATTCATAAAAATGAATCATTCAGCACTTTAGCCTACAGTTTATTGTACTACAGTTGTGTGATGATTATGGGATGTACTTTTGTATTTTGTGTGAGCACAACATATTGTTTTATTTTCAGTCCTTTGACATAATCTGTTAATGAGAAGCATTGCAAATTTAAGTATGTTCATTTCCTTCACACAGTAACATTGTCTGCCATAACTCAATGTAGTTTGCATCATTCACTTTTATGGATGCAAACTAGTTTTCAAACACACTGATCATAAGCTACGCTGACTTCATTCTCCCTCAGTCATCAGCACCTACAAAAATGACATCGCGTGGACAGCTGCTTACTAGTCTTGTTTTCATCACTCCTCTTTAGCCCACAATAGCTGTCATCACGTGGCTTTATTATTGCTAACAGCACAGTGGTCCAGCTCAAAGGAGGCCAGGCTTTATTAAAATGTTCTGTGAAATGTGATTGACTCAGCCAGAAGCCGTGGTGTTGACAAACCAAGATGAACAACGCACATTGGAAACGGCAACACAAATAAATACGTTATCGCTTATTACATTACTGCTTCTGATGGCATGTCTGCGAGTGTGTTCCCACCACAGCCTACCTTCCATGTAGCAGATTTGACGTTGACAGTGCGGCCCCTGCTCGTGAGGGTGCACTTCATCCGCAGAAAGAAGCTACGCTCTGTATTTGGCTCCTTGGATTTCTTGGAGCCTGAGATCACAGAAGCAGGAATAATGGAGCCACAGTTACAAAAAGGGGGAACCTAGTTCTTACATGCTGTTTCAATGGTGACCACTTCCATTTATTACTGCCTCTATTTTAAATCTTCATATTTCAGTGTTGGGCAACTGCCAATTTGCATACAGGAGACACCAGGGTGCAAAAATGGTTGCTGCAGCGCTACCAGCCGTTATAAGTGCACATAACATCATTGTGCAGTGAGTCCAAATCCAAGCAGGACAGAACCACGTGTGGGTTTCAATTAGACCTACTGT